TACGTATCCAGCTGGTCAGAACTCATTGATTTCTATGAAAAAACACACGTGACGCAAAATACATAGTTTAAGCCACTGTTAGTAATTTAAAATTAGTTAYTTATTTAAAATTTCCATAACTATAAAATTCACAATTTTCTCAGCTCTATTTTGAACCATAGTTTGTAAAAATCKAGCAAGAAATAAGGAAGTTATAAGAGTTTTTCATCAGGATGACACCTCACAGTCCATTGACATCCATTCATAGTGTTGAGGCTCCTCAATGCAGAACAGAGCTCCAGTGTGTGCACGTCTATGTGGCTAGSAACACGCTAGCCACGCCCAATCCAGTAATATTTATCAAYGGTTTCAGCTTCAGCGCAGGAACGACTTACGGCACAAAGGCGTGATCCGTCTCTCTTCCAGGCCAAGCTGGTGATGGTGTAGAGGTTGGAGATCTCTTTGGGTTTGGCTTCATCCCACATGCCTCTCCTAGGGGCCCAGTTAAACACTCGTAACCTGCACAGAATCAACCAGACGAAGGTTTCATCCCCTCAGCTCCTTCATCACCCACCTTTAATCTGTTTCCTTCTGACCGGTCGAAGCTGCCGAACACCACAGACTGCCCGCTGGGGCTGGTGACCGCCACCGTGAACTCCCTCTCCGACCGGTCGCGGCTGTAGTCGAAGCTCTGCAGGATGTGGCCCTCCCTGCCGTACGCCACCACCTTCTTGTCGCAGCCGCCCGCCACGATGCTGTTAGCTCCCCAGGCCAGGGCGTAAGGAGGGCACGGGTGTGTCAACAGCTTCCCCTGAGTCAGAGCATGAGAATGTGAAAACATTCCTGAGAGTTCGGCGTGGACCAAGGAGTTTATATAGAACAGCTGAAGTGCGCAGAAACCAGGTGACAGTGTGATTGGCTGGTGAAGCTAACGGCTAACGCTAAACGGTCAGGAGTCTGGATTTCCCATTACTGTACATTTTGACAACAGAGCAGAAAAAAAGGACTGACCATGTAGAAATCATTAAAACTATTAAAGGGATCCACGATTAGTTGTTGTAACATTAAACTTTATTTGATAAACATTTATTTTAACTGTAAAAATACTGTAGGCTGTTTAATTTTGTAAATTTTAAAAAAAATATTTTAACACAGACGGAGCCATTTTATTTACGTGCAAAGCATTCTGGGTAAATGATGACATCAACTAGGTCATCGGTGCGAGGC